TCACACTGAACGATCTTTCCTCTCCCTGTCTACCCCACTCAGATTCATATGGAATGAACCCCAGGCGTGACCCCCCAGCTGTGGTTATTTAATCGACTCTGACAACTGTGTTCAGTATCGCCTCTTTTTATCTTGAAAAGGGAAAAGAAATCCCTTTTCTTCCCAGATCACAATATTTCATACATTTCTGAAGATGAGCAAGATCGCAAAACTTTTAAATTTTTTTTCCCCTTTTTTAATACATCCGGGGAGACCTTCCTTTATAGATAGTCTACCAAAATGAACAGAACAACCTCTGAAGTGAGGAAGCACGTATAAAATAAAATCACTGATCTGCACATTAAACCAGGAAAAGGAACCAACACTTGGATGTCCTACAAGCATCTGGGATGCTGTCATTAGTACTGCCAGCCTACCTTTAGCTCACTGTCAGTTTGTAGAGCTGCTGCTATGTCTGCCCAGTTTGCTCCAAATGTCAAGCTTGCTTGCTCTCTCTCCTGCGTGCTCTTGCTCTTTCTGTGTTCACTCTGCTTTTTAAAGACACTGCAGTGCTGTTTATCTCACTTATCCCTGTCCCTCCGAGCTCCCAATACCACCCTGGTGCTAACCACAGGTTACTTCAACTAAACACAATACAGAACTCTCAAATCCAGGTGGCACCTGGCAATTTATGAGGCTTAACCACAAAATTCATATAAACAAGGTCTTCTTGTGTGAGACTCCTGGGCTCTGAGATAAGTATGCAGACTCTCTTTGAGGAGCACCTGCACTTTTTTCAACACAAAGTTTCGCATTTGGCTTTCTTCTTTATAGTTTCAGAGTTGGTTTCTTCAGTGTTAACTCTCAGAGAGGAGAACCTGGTGTCTGGTCACACCACTGTCCCACATCAAAGCTATTTCACTGAAGGCCAGTGGCCCGCTTCCTCAGGTCAACAGCAGCCAAGCTTCTGGGATTTTGGTGAACTGACAATGGGGATCACAAAATGTCCTTTCTTCGGATACCAGTATTTAATTTTCAAGGATATTACCTCTTTGGTGATGTATGTCTGGGTTCTTGAAGGCGCTGGCGAGGGACGACAAATCAACAATATAAAAGCTAGCTATATACATATTGAGTAGATACTACACCAGCTATAGCCTGCAGCTGGCTGTCGTGGTTTCAGCCCAGCCGGCAACAAAGCACCACACAGCCGCTCGCTCACTCCTCCCCCCTGGCCCCAGTGGAATGAGGAGGAGAAAATAGAAAGAAACTCTCATGGGTCGAGACAAGGACACTTGTCACTCCCCACTTATGGTCATGGGCAAAAGACGGGCTCAGCTTGGGGAAGAAACAAAATCGATTTAATTTATACCAATCCAATCAAAACAAGGATATTGGGAAGTAAACCTCAACCTGAGAAGAGCTTCCCCCCCGCCCTCCCTCCTTCCCGCCTCAGCCCCACTCCCGGTTCTCTCTCCCTGGGGAGCAGGGGACGGGGGCTGGGGTCGGCTCCTCACCCCTTGTCTCTGCCGCTCCTTCCTCCTCGGGGGGAGGAGGACT